GCTTCAGATTTTAATTCCTCAATTACTCAGACTGTCATTGGGCCAACACAGCTGACTTTCACTAACAGAGAACACACCATTTGTACACACAAATGAGTTAAATGAAATAGGTAAGGACGAATAATGGTGAGGTATGAAGGAAGTGGTCGAGCATCCATGAGTCTCCAACTAAATTTCGACATCAAGTCATACAGCCAACGGTCAACTAGCATGAACATTTTAACCCTTTGTGAGATGGAATAACTTATAAATAACACCTATAGCGCCTTAATGCTGCTGTCCAGGGTTTGAAAAGTGCACACGGTGCGAAAAATCTGTAAAAACTACGGACATACCTGACAGAAACAGGCGGAGCGATGCGTCAGTGATTCTCTGGATGTATTTAGGTGGGGAAATGTGGTCGAAGTTGACAAGAAAAATACCCAAAAGAGGAGAGGAAATGATGCCAAATGATGTGTTTAAACTGGGATACCAGGTCACCAAGAAGGGGGAGAAGCTGGGGAATCAGAACATATATATGTAGACGTTGGGATGATGGCTGGTTTAGGAACAAAGGGGATTTAGGAAAAAGGCATGACACAGGTTTTTATTTGTAATCCACTTCCTACTATATATACAAATGGCATCCTTCTTCCTTATCAGGCACTTTAATGTCCATATCTTTAATGCAGAAAACACATTTGGTATGCACCTTCCCAAGGTATGGCCCATTTCTTTAAGGCTTCACAATGCGAGGTTATAGCTTCAATCCTTATCACATAGCTCCCATCTGTCAAGCCATTTTCATATCTCACATTCCCTTAAACGGCTTTGCAGTCTTGCACAGCATACAGCGCATTTTTCTATCAATTCAAAGCAATCCTAAATGGTCCGACACGCTGTCAGTCTGCAGTGTTTGTTTTGGTAATCACTTCTGCGAGGATCATACAAGCTGTCTTAGATATGAACGTCATCTGTCACGTCTCTGCAGCACATCCATCAATGAAGTTTGAGGACGTTGTGATTTGGGATCTGGCCTCTGTAGTTTTTGCAGAGCTCTGTCGTTGGAGAGAAGTGAAGCTGGCGAGCAGCTCTCTTTTTCCATTGCGTAAACTCCAGAGCTGCTGCCTGAAATGCAAATGCGGTAAAGAGCCAGGGGACTGTCTGTGTGTGTGTGTGTCTGTGTGTCTGTGTGTGTCTGTGTGTCTGTGTGTGTTTATCAATGTCTCCGCCCGCCATTCCTCTTTATTTCCTTATACAGTAATATGCATAACAGATCCTAGCACAGAGTACTTTAACAAGACTCAATGGAAACCTACTATATGGCAGGACCTTGTAGGGACACTTTGCTAAAATGGATAGTCAGCTGTACAGTATTTAAATGTGACTTTAAGGACTATAAAAGTAAGTATTGGTATCAAAACACTCATAAATTACCACATTTAAAAGCACTTATTGTGTTTAATGTCCCATTTTTTAATCATATACTGTATATTTAGTGCCTGGATGTTTTTTTGATGCAATCACAGCTGGTAAAGTTTGACCCTTTTGAGTCCAGAGGCTAATTTGTCAGTTTTCGCATACTTTTGATTGTCTTACTAAACCCCATTAAGAAATGTTTAGCATGTCAATGTTTTGGTCTCTTATTTTTGAGGACAACCTCACCTATATAACCTGATAGTTATTTTTTTCATTTTGACACACTATATGAACAGTTTTGACCCAAAATCACACAGAAACGTAAAAACAGATTTGGAAAATGATATTATTTTCACTAAAGGTAACACAAACATGCACAACGGAACATTTTGAAAGGTAAACATATATACATGGGATGTCACTATTGTTGGGGAATAATTTGCCCTGCATGTCCTCCTTAGCCCTCTGACGCTGCTGACCAACAGCCGTTATCTCCCTTAAGGAGGGGCTGCCCAAGCATATTGTTGATGTTGCCAGTTTATGACCGGGCAACTCTCGGTCAGAGATAGTCATTGTTGTGGGACACCTGGAACACATCCTTCTCGGGGTGTAGATGACCCCGAGCCATAAGCGTCAACAAATGTGATTCAGTGTCCCTCAGCTGTTTAGTCTATCTATTGAAGAATGTTGATTATTACACTCTGAACTAGTTCAAACCTGGAGCTACAGGAGGGGTCTTCAGGATTGATTGTGGCATCTCAACCGTGTGGTCAACTCGTGGCCCGTGACATGTCTTGTGAATTCTCCGGCCGAAGCTCCAAATAAACCATCAGTGTTTGCCATCAAAGCTCCAGCTCTCCTCGTGCCTCTCTGAGTCCTGACTCCAATTGCTTCAGAAGTTTCCCCCACAACTATGTTAATGCAAACGTTTGATTGAGGTAGCATGAACCTATATACACATGTTATGAATAAATAGCAAGTGTATCCATAGGCGTTTTTCCCTCATTCCTCACATACTATTGCTGCTGTATATCTTAAACTATACTTTTTATATCGTATTTTATTCATTAGTTTATATTTATTTAGTTTAAGCTTGTAATTTGAATCTGTAAAATAACTAGTAACTCATTTTGTCAATAAATGTTGGGAGTAAAAGCGCTATAATGGCTTCCAAATTGTAGTGCATAGAAGTATTGTGTAGCATTAAATTAAAAATACTCAAGTTAAGTACAAGTACCCCCAATATCGCACTTAAGTACAGTACTTGAGTAAATGTCTTACATTACACCGCATGGTTCTGGGGGCACCATATTTATTAAGTCATGTCGAACTGACAGAAAATGTAGGGACATAATTTTGTTTTTCTTTACGGCTGCCCAAAAATTCCTGCATCAGTCCTCCTGAGGTCCTGAACAAACACTCTGAGTGAAGAGCATGACTGGATGTGTGACCGCAGCATTTTCAGATTAATCCCAGCTGGCCAGATGTCATTCTGAAACGCTTCTGAATGTCTGCTTTAAGTCTTCGCTTTCACAGTTTCCTAAGGTCAATTCTTAGGTCTTTGCTAGTAGCTAACCCTTCCCATCGTGTGTGTGTGTGTGTGTGTGTGTGTGTGTGTGTGTGTGTGTGTGTGTGTGTGTGTGTGTGTGTGTGTGTGTGTGTGTGTGTGTGGTGTGTGTGTGTGTGTGTGTGTGTGTGTGTGTGTGTGTGTGTGTGTGTGTGTGTGTGTGTGTGTGTGGTGTGTGTGTGTGTGTGTGTGTGTGTGTGTGTGTGTGTGTGTGTGTGTGTGTGTGTGTGTGTGTGTGTGTGTGTGTGTGTGTGTGTGTGTGTGTGTGTGTGTGACACTGTGATTATAACAGACTGTGTTTGACTTGTGTTGACCTTCGGGGTGATGGACTTGTGTTTATAATGGTTCTGTGGATGTTGCAAGGAGGACATAGGAGGAGGAAAAACGTTGGCACATGCTCCTAACACACACACGCGCGCGCACGCACACGCACACACGCACGACCACTGACTTAACAAGGGAGATATTCAGTTAATGCCTTTGCTTTTTGCAATGTTTTTACAGTTAATATTATAAGAAAAAAACTGGCTTTCTTTCAGCTTAAGGAGCATCTGAAGACATGTCAATTAAAGGTTTTGTTGTGTATATTCAACACACACACACACACACACACAGAGCTGCTGTTTAATGTTTGGTTTACATGCTATTAAGTCAATGCCATTGCTTTTAGCGATGGTTTTACAGTTCATATTAACGCTTTACACCCCATCCTTTGCCTTTACTGAGAAATGTTTCAAAAACTACAAGGCGCTCTGTCCACAAGATGTGATGTTCTGTCTGATGTGGATGTAGTCCTCTGCTCATGTCCCATTAAGGTTAACAGGGACCTCTGCTATTGGCTCCATGAGTCATGAGTGCACAGATTGTTTCTGACCACACAGGCTGGTGTGTTAATGGCTCTGCGCACACACACACACACACACACACACACACACACACACACACACACACACACAGCCACAACACACACACAGCCACACACACACACAGCCACACACACCACACACACACACACACACACACACACACACACACAACACACACACACACACACACACACACACACACACACACACACACACACACACACACACACACACACACAGCCACACACACACACAGCCACACACACACACAGCCACACACACACACACACACACACACACACACACACACAGCCACACACACACACAGCCACCACACACACACAGCCACACACACACACACACACACACACACACACACACACACACCACACACACCACACACACACACACACACACACACACACACACACACACACACACACACACACAGGGTGGTTTAAACAGAGCGCTGTGTGTCTGCTGTCTGTGTTTATGTTGGAGAATATCTGCCATTAGTCACTAACATATAGCTGGCCAACATTATGATGTGACATACAACGAGCTGGCAATGTGTCAAAAAGGAAACCTTTTTTCTTAATATAGATTTATTATTAAATATGATTTATTTATTACCTATTATTATAATCAGCATCAGAATCAGGTTTATTGCAAAGTAGGTTCACACATACAAGGAATTTGCTTGGTGTATAATGGTGCACTGTAAAAGGAATTAGGTTGTAAAAAAGGTCCTTTTTAAACAAAAATAAAAAAGTAAAAAGGACATTTTACAAGAAATATAAAAATAAGACATATATATATATATATATATATAAAAAGCACAATAGAATTACAAATTATTCTGAAAAATAAAATGCAAAGTGTGCAGTATATCCAAATGTAAGGTGGAAGAGCTACTATTGCGCATACATGTGCAAAATATACAAATTATTGTGCAAGGTTTGCATTATGGAGTATGAAGAGTGGCTCATATGATGTGCGCACAGTGTGTATGGGGGGGTATGAAGTCTGAAAAAGTGAGAAAAGGAACATTTAAAGAATCAGAGCAGAGAAGAGTCTGCAGAGGCGTTGACATGTGCTGACATGCTGCCTGAATGAATGCTGTTCCCTTAAAAAACTAAATCTCTAACCTCGGACCCTTTCTGTTTCAGCTCCTCATGGATACTTCCTGGAGTTTCAGGAGCCGGTGAACAACATCACTCACTTCCAGGGCCAGACGGCCACGCTGCACTGCAGGGTGACGGGGAACCCCCGGCCCTCCATCCGCTGGCTGAAGAACGACGCCCCGGTGGTCCAGGAGCAGGGCCGCATCACCATCCGGAAGATCGAGGCCGGGTCCAAGCTGCGGATCCAAGACCTGGACACCACGGACACCGGGTACTACCAGTGTGTGGCCTCCAACTCTCTGAAGGTCATCTCTGCCACCGGGGTGCTGTACGTCAAACTGGGTAACGTCACATTTATATTTACACTTTTAATTATTTGTATTATTGAAGTGAAACTGTCCTTTTCATCGGTAGCGTTTCCAAGGAGATTGCATTTTTCTCCGATTTTTTAAGTAACCAAGAAGCCATGGTGTTTTCTTTTCCATTGGATTAGATTAAATATACTTTATTAAACCCACATTTGGAAATAGTTGGTGGCATCAGGAAGTCATAAAGCTCTTCTCTCCATTTGAATAAAAAGAATTGTATGATAAAACTACTTTATACACGTATATAATGCATATATTATCTTATGTTTACAAATGTTTTATTAGTATTATAATGGTTTATTATCAAGTATTCTAACATATTTTGTATTTTTTATATTTTGTATTTCTATGTATGTTTATGTTGATTCTTTAAAATCTATTTTGATCTTATTTTTTGATTTTTAAACTTGTGTAATGCCTGTAAACGTGCTGCTGGGATAAAAAGAAATACAATTTGCTAGGAATAATTTACACCTAATCTTATGAAATAAAATTAAAATAGGTCTCTCTTCATGATGAATAAGGTGCTTCTTAACACAGTGTTTAATGTTTAATTTATGCTTTTATTTTGGACCAACAGGACAGATGCCCACATCTAGCCCAGATGAAACGTAAGTGAACCTGCTATACATTTGATCAGAGTGTGTGAGTGAGAGTCGTACAGCAACAGAAGGAAAATCCCAACCAAATTAGAACCACAGAGAAGATTTGAAGCAACAAGTATTTACCCCTTGGGATGTGTGTAGGGTTTTTGGAGTGTTTGTAAAACAGAGAACAGCGTATATGGGAAACAAGAACATCAAGCAAGGAGCAAAAGATATAGCGGATATACATCAGGGCATCTTCCTACAAGGTTTTATGAAAAGGTAGTCCCATTACATGTTTCAAAAGTAAATACATCTGCATGTTTTTTAAATCAAATGAATATACAATAAAAGAAAAATAAGCATGAAACAGGAAATCGCAAAATCATATAAAGGCTGCTGTGCTGTTCTCCCCTTCGAGAAATGATAAAAAGCTTCTCCAAATCCTATCAAAGGTAGAATATTTACCCTTAAAGGTCCCATGTCATGGCCATTTCTACTGATCATAATTCCATTGTTGAGGTCTACTAAAATAAATGTATATTATGCAATTTTCCAAACTCACATTGGTTTCTCATACAGCATCTCTGTATAGTATGTGTATTCACTCTCTGTCCTAATCGGCTTGTTGGAGCTCCTGCCCCGCCCCTCCCTGTGAGCCCAGTGGCCGTCTGCGAGACAGCGAGACACAGCGAAACCGAGCCCGAAACACACACACACCCACAGCCTGGCTGGGAGTTTGTGTGTGTGCTCAGGCTGAGTCCTGCGGTGTCTCGCTGTCTCGCCGACCCCACACCAGTGAGCCAGCTCACAGTGTCCCGCTCCTCGCAGCAGCGAGCCTCGCAACGTCCCGCCGAGTGTGTGTGTGTGAGGAAGTCCCCGGATTGGTCCAAACGTAACGGCTCCGCGGACGTTACGTTACGTCACTATACCCGAAATACGTCACTGTACCCAAGAAGTAAACAATGGAAAAAGAGAAATCTCCAACGAGGCGTTCTGGGGCAGCATAGACAGGTCTTTCCTGTGTTAGAGTTTTACTCGCTACAGGGTGAACTTTGAGGGTTTGTGACTCTGCAGACCGTTTACATGCAGAAAAACCTTCATAACACATAAGGGGATGGGTAATAACCAGAAAAGCATGACATGGGACCTTTAAGCATAAAGATAGTTATATTGACTTTTAACTTGTTCTTTACAGCAGGACATCTTCCCCTCAAACCACTCCTGCAGCATAACCCCCGTCTTTACTGTCCATCTCATATTTTTGCCAGTACGGACACACAATAATATTAATGTTTCTGGTGCAGGGTAATGTCAGTTAAAGCTGTTTCTTAGGATTCAGTGGGGACAGATGAATTTACCTCCATGTCTCTTCAGGCTGATGTGCAGACGGTGGTTGTTTTCCCAAACATCTGTACAGGAGCAAAGCTAAAGCTGTTTATGCCATCTTCAAGAATATTCTGATTCACTGCTGTGATAAAGAACTCTTTGGGGAATTCACTGTAGCATACACACAGATGGAAAAGGACGCATACATAAAGCATGAGGGAAACATCCGATATGAATATATTTGTGTAGCTGTCTAATCGGGAAGCCTTGCAATCAATCTAGTAGCTTCTTTGCTCAAAGTTGGCAATCGTTCCATTAAAACAGGTTTAATTGACTCATATTTTATGTATAACTTGGCTTATCAAGACGACGGACTAATGTACAATAACCTTGTTCGGGGTTTTACTCCAAAAACAAAGAGAGGACTCTTTAAAGTAGAGACACTACATACTGATATACACCTGAACATTAGCAGGAGAGGACTCTTTAAAGTAGAGACACTACATACTGATATACACCTGAACATCAGCAGGAGAGGACTCTTTAAAGTAGAGACACTACATACTGATATACACCTGAACATCAGCAGGAGAGGACTCTTTAAAGTAGAGACACTACATACTGATATACACCTTAACATCAGCAGGAGAGGACTCTTTAAAGTAGAGACACTACATACTGATATACACCTGAACATCAGCAGGAGAGGACTCTTTAAAGTAGAGACACTACATACTGATATACACCTGAACATCAGCAGGAGAGGACTCTTTAAAGTAGAGACACTACATACTGATATACACCTGAACATCAGCAGGAGAGGACTCTTTAAAGTAGAGACACTACATACTGATATACACCTGAACATCAGCAGGAGAGGACTCTTTAAAGTAGAGACACTATATGCTGATATACACCTGAACACCAGCAGGAGAGGACTCTTTAAAGTAGAGATACTACATACTGATATACACCTGAACATCAGCAGGAGAGGACTCTTTAAAGTAGAAACACTACATACTGATATACACCTGAACATCAGCAGGAGAGGACTCTTTAAAGTAGAGACACTACATACTGATGTATACCTGAACATCAGCAGGAGAGGACTCTTTAAAGTAGAGACACTACATACTGATATACACCTGAACATCAGCAGGAGAGGACTCTTTAAAGTAGAGACACTACATACTGATATACACCTGAAGATCAGCAGGAGAGGACTCTTTAATGTAGAGACACTACATACTGATATACACCTGAACATCAGCAGGAGAGGACTCTTTAAAGTAGAGACACTATATGCTGATATACACCTGAACACCAGCAGGAGAGGACTCTTTAAAGTAGAGATACTACATACTGATATACACCTGAACATCAGCAGGAGAGGACTCTTTAAAGTAGAAACACTACATACTGATATACACCTGAACATCAGCAGGAGAGGACTCTTTAAAGTAGAGACACTACATACTGATGTATACCTGAACATCAGCAGGAGAGGACTCTTTAAAGTAGAGACACTACATACTGATATACACCTGAACATCAGCAGGAGAGGACTCTTTAAAGTAGAGACACTACATACTGATATACACCTGAACATCAGCAGGAGAGGACTCTTTAAAGTAGAGACACTACATACTGATATACACCTGAACATCAGCAGGAGAGGACTCTTTAAAGTAGAGACACTACATACTGATATACACCTGAACATTAGCAGGAGAGGACTCTTTAAAGTAGAGACACTACATACTGATATACACCTGAACATCAGCAGGAGAGGACTCTTTAAAGTAGAGACACTACATACTGATATACACCTGAACATCAGCAGGAGAGGACTCTTTAAAGTAGAGACACTACATACTGATATACACCTGAACATCAGCAGGAGAGGACTCTTTAAAGTAGAGACACTACATACTGATATACACCTGAACATTAGCAGGAGAGGACTCTTTAAAGTAGAGACACTACATACTGATATACACCTGAACATTAGCATATGATCCTTTAAGTCTGGAAATAATAAAGTGTTGTATTTGTTTTAGATGATGTCTAAGTTTTAGAATGATCCTGTGGTAGGATCGAGGCTTATTTCAAAGTAACCAAGCTAACAGCCCTGAAGCTACGTAGACTAGCTAAAGGTTTGTAGTGGTGAGGATGGATTTGAAGGTTGGTATTTAGGAAATGACTGTAGTTAATAAATATTTGTGTGGCACTTAGAGGAGCAGATGCAGGTGTCTGTGGTGAGAGGCGTTTCCTGGGCCTGCTCTGACATGTCAGCTGACTCTCATACCTGCACTGCTGGATTAGTAATGGGTGCAGATATCGTGCTATGTAGTGATGGGAATTACGGCTCTTTGAAGGGAGCCGGATCTTATGGCTTCGTTCCTTTCCGAGAGCCGTTCAAAAGAGCAGTTTTTTTCTTTAAGTGGCGGCGGAGATTATTTGTTGACCCTGCTTTAAATTATATTTTGGCTTTACAAATGTTGCACTCCGCTTTATCATTGCCTATGTTTTTGTTGAAGTGCATCCAAATCGCGTTTGGCTAATTTGTTCATCTGAAGAACACGTCGTCTACCTGTACCACTCATTATGCTATGCCTAAACCTAACCAATCAGAGGCACTCCTGCCTAAACCTAACAGTTCAGAGTAGGGGCGGGTCTTCACGGAATACGCTTGGGGAACAAAATCAAGCTTTTTCACTGTTCACATATAGGCGAGTGGATTTATGGCAGGCGGTGAACCAACGATAAAAAGATTGGCTCTCACCAAGTACGACTCGGTTCCCTTCGTTCGTACCAAAGAGCCGTTCAAAAGAATCGGATCGTTCGCGAATGTAACATCACTATGTTTCACGGATTGATGAAACCAAACCACGAGGGCAGGCGGCCTTGTGTCTGTCTTGTGGGTTTGACTGTGGCTCGGGACAGATTCCTGCCGCAGCAGTCAGACTCTCGCCGGTGGTTTGGACGGCTCTGAACTGAACTGGAAGGAATGCTGATTCATGTCTCCGTCAGACCAAGTGTTCCTGAAGGCCTCTTCCAGGGAGCTTATCTCATCAGCGAGCAATGTGACTCAATTCATGTGTTTTCATATATGTAGCGCTGAGGTAGGGGGACATATTCATCAGAATCAGAATACCTTTATTAGTCCCACAGAGGGGAAATGTACATTGTTCCAGCAGAAAAAGTGCCAAAGACAGCTTAATGTTACGTAGAAGCATGCATACACAAGTATTGAAGTAAAAAAATAAAAAGTTATAATAAAATAAAAAGTTACACAATTTACAAAACACACATCCTGTAACAGTTCATTGTGGGGAGGGTGCAATGCCTTGTTGTTGTTTTATAATGTATATGTAAAGTTGATCAGAGAAGTCAAATTGACAGTATTAGTTTGACTTTTAAGTCACATTTGCTTCCATACATTGCAGGTAGTCATACTGTGTGTAATGCAAATAAGAAGTACCCTAATTAGTGTTTAATTTGCCTATGGTGTACTCAAATGGTGTTGTTGAGTTAATTTAGGCCTTGTTACTGATTCACCAGCACTTTATGGTATGATCTCGCTGTGAATATATCTTCACTTTTCCTTCTTGCTCGGAGTTTGATTCTGTATGGTTTTTGCATGTATTGTAAGTCGCTTTGGATAAAAGCCTCAGCTAAAGGATATGTAATGTAAT